CACTGGCCCTGGAGTCAGGAGGACCTGAGTTCAAATCCAGTCTCAAACCAGACACTTGACACTTACTAGCTGTGTGACCCTGGTCAAGTCACTTAACCCCAATTGCCTCGCCAAAAACAAAAAACAAACAAAAAGATTTTCAAATGCCTTTCTGAAATTCAGCAAAGATACATTATCTCCATTTTTTCCCCAATCTACCTGGTTAATAAAGCATTTAAAAAAAAAGGCAAATAAAGTTAGCCTAACAAGATTTGTTTTCTTTTTTTCTCCTGAGATACTCCAATAATTCTTAATAATTCCTTGATCTATTTTCCACATCAGTTGTTTTTCTGATGAGATATTTCACATTTTCTTCTATTTTTTCAATCTTTTTACTTTCTTTTATTGTTTCTTGATGTCTCATGAAGTCATTAGCTTCCACTTGACCAATCTTAATTTTTTAAGGCATGATTTTCTTCAGTGAGGTTTTGTGCCTCTTACCAGAATTGGCCAATTCTGATTTTGAAGGCATTATATTTTCTTCAATTTTTTTGTGTTTCTTTTACTAAGCTGTTAATTCTCTTCTCATAATTTTCTTGCATCGCTCTCATTTCTTTTTCCAATTTTTCCTCTACCACTTTTATTTTATTTTTAATTTTTTTTTTGCTCTTTTTAAAAAAATCTCTTCCTTTAGCTCTTCTAGAAATTCTTGTTGGGCTTGTGTCCAAATTGCATTTTTCTTCAAGGCTTTGTTTGTACCTGTTTTCACACTGCTGTCTTATTGTGAGTTTGTGTATTGAGCTTCTCAGTCACCACAGAAGTGTTTGTGCTTAGGTTCTTTTTTTTTTATTGTTTGCTAATTTTCCTAAACTATTTCTTAACTTGGGCTCTGCTTACCTCTGGGGGGAGATGACTGTTCTGAGCTTCAAGCTTCTATGTATTTCTGTTTTCTCAGTTAGGCTTGGGGGCTTTAAGTTTTCAGAGTTTCCAGAGTGGTATGGTCCTAGGTGCAGTCTGTTCATTGCCTTCCTGGTCTGCACTCTGGTCCCTACCCAGGTTGGGCCCCTGTTTCTTGATACCTCAACCATAACTGCTCCCCTTCACCCTGGTACTAGGCAATGGCACTGCCAAATGGCACTTGATCCTGTACCCAGTGCTAACTGAAGGGTTTACCTGGAATCTCTTTCTGACCAGGTATCCAGTCTCCTTACCAACCTGGCCACTGGCTGTTGCCAGTGCTGCCACCACTACCACTGATGCCTACAGCCCATGGCACTTCTGTCAGGCCTTGCTCCAGACCAGTTCCCACCCCAGTATCTACAAACCTCTTTCTGTTCTTCTAAGCCGCTCTGGGTTAGAAAAATGTCTCACTGTGACTTTTTGTTGGTTATCTCACTTAGAATTCAGTATGAGGCACTTTTTAAAGTTTTGTTTAGAGAGGTGGGTTGGTAGAGCTCAACAAAATTGTTAACTTCATTCTACCATCTTAGTTTCTCCTCCTTTTTTTTTTCCTTTTGAGACTGTGTCTTGTTATCTTGTCCAGGCTAGAAATATAGTAGCCTTTCATGGGTCTGATCCCACTGCTGATCTGCAAGACAGCTTTGACCTCCTCCGCTCCTAACTTAAGCCAGTTCACTCATCCTAAAGGAGCCTGAGAAACCTCTGCTCTCAGAGGTACTATACTGAGAGAGACACTGGATTGGCTTAGTACACTACAGCTCAGAAATTCTAACCTCAAGCAATCCATCAGCCTCAATCTCCCCAGTAGCAGGAATTACAAGTACAAGTCACCATCCTGTCGAGACTTATTCTTGAAGAACTCTTATTGGCTCCTAGTAATCACTATTTCCCTTTCTAAGTACTTGCAAACTCTTTGTCTCCCACTACTATATGATTCCCACTCTTGTGAAATCCACACATATGTATCATTTGGCAACTGTTCTAACCAACTGCCTTAAAGACTGAAGCTCTTCAATTTACTTTCTAGATGCAATACATGGAGAAAGACTTGGAGTTAGGAAGACTCAAGTTCAAACATGGCCTTAGACATTTAACTGTACGACCTTGGGCAAGTCACTTAACCTCTATCTGCCTCAATTTCCTCAACTGTAAAATGGGAATAAAAGTATCTAATTCTCAGGATTGTTGTGAGGATCAAATGAGATCAAATGAGTAAATTACTTTGCAAACCTTAAAGTGCTATATAAATTCTAGCTATTATGATTATTAGATAGCCCTGTAAGAAAGAGTACAGAAAGTTTTCCAGTAGAGTAATGCTAAGCACATAGTGTCTACTTTTTTTTCACTTGGGTTCCTTGTTACCCTCCTTCCAGTTCAAAAGCAGATGGGCCTCTATTGAATTTATTCATGTTTTTTAAACCAAGGGTTCCCACTTTGGTAACTTAATCCAGATGCTGACTACAGCTGTGCTTGTATATTTAGGGTTCAGTTAAATTCTATTTTATATTGAAAACCTATACATCTTATCTCACTTACTAGTTCATTTTCACTTTGTATAGGGGATAATGGGTAAAAGTATCCAGATATTTGTAGAACATGCAAGTACACATGCACATGATAATAACAGCTAGCATTTTATACAGTCCTTCAAGATTTGCAGAGTCATATATAGAGTTGCATATGTGTTATCTCATTTGATCATATCCTATATGGGTACATAAATATGAATAGATATATCTGAAAACACACAAATGCATTTCTATATCATGCATGCACAAATCTCTGATTCATTTTGCTGCTTGGCCAAAGCCTTAAAGGACTACATCTTGTAAGTGACACATTCTCTTCACTTAGAACATCTGAGTTGTGCCCATCCTGCATAATACCAGAGACTGGGAACCAAGAAAATGAAATCCATAGCTGATCTGAAAACTGACATTTTTCACCATTTGTGTCTGCTTCTTTCTCTGCTCCAAAATCTTTTCTGTGAGCTGCTAAAGAAGAAGGAAAAAAAACCTGATGGCTTTAATTTCACCTGGTTTTCTTTTTTCAAACAAGGTCTACTTTCTAATGTAGGCATGACAGTTCATATTCCTCTATAATAAATAGCTCCACATCAATTTTTCTTCAAAAAAAAAAAAGAAAGAAAGATGTCTAAGACTTGATTGATTGGCCACTTATGTCAAGGAGCACTTCATGTGTAAAAATTCCAGAGCAACAGCAGAATCTGCGTAATCCCCTGGATTTCTTTATAATGAGACTGGACTGTTAAACAGTGAATGGTATTAAAGTGGGAAGCTGGAAGAAGGAGAGGGCTTTGATGATCCACCAACCGGATAATCAGCCTCCAAGAAGCAAGTTCCAGTGGAAACTTCAAAGACAGCTAAAAAAGTAGTTAAACTTTCTTTCTCATTTTTAACTGTTCCAAGAGAAATATCTAGGTTTTAATAGCTTTGCTAGTCCCTTCCCTCTGAGACAAACTTCTGTTTACACTGTATATATCTTATATGTACACAGTTATCTGCATGATGTCTCTTTCAATAGAATGTGAGCTCCTTGAAAGCAGGGACTTTTATGTTTTTGCCTTTCTTTGTATCCCCGAGTGCTCAGCACAGTTCTGGCATATGAGTACTTGTTGACTGACTATTAGAACAACCAATTTAGAAAAGATACAAAATTTAACTAATTCCAGTATTAAAGAAATTAGGTGATGAAAATAATAGATTATATTTACGTAATGCTGTATTAGCTTACATTTGTATAATAGAGCCTAAGGGCTACACTTAAGGGAGGCTATGGATTATTGTTCTCAGTATCTTTAAGAATGAGGTAGAATGCACCAGCCTCTATAAGAGTCCTCAAGGAGAATCATACATATATATTTGAGAATTTCTTCCAAAAGGCAATTTTATCATCATTTTCAGTACACGATGGACTATAACACAAAAATTAGATTTCATAGTACTAGATTTACATGGTACATAGTACATAGTACTAGATTACATAATACATTACATAGTAATTCCCTCCTCAAGGAAATTGTGGGGCAAAAAAGTGCTAGAGAACCCTTTGACTCAGGCATACCACCACTGGTCCTGTATACCCAAAAGATACCAGAGGAAAAGGAACTTTATGTACAAAAAATATTTATAGCACCTCTTTTTGTAGTGGCAAAGAACTAGAAGTTAAGAGATGCTCATCAGTTGAGGAACAGCTGAACAAGTTATAGTTAATGAATATAACAGAACACTATTGTGCCATAAGAAATGGCAGAAGCGTTTAGAGAAACCTGGGAAGATTTGCATGAACTGATACAGATACAGAGTGAAGTGAGTAGAATCGGGAAAACAACGTATACAACAATAATACCACTGTGAAGACAAACAACTTCGAGAGAATCATAAAAACTGATTAATGCAATGACCAACCATGATTGGAAAGGACTGATGATGAAACAGGTTACCCATCTTCTAAAGGTTAGGTTAGGTTAGGTTAGGTTGTTATCCTTCGTTCTCAAAGAGGACCAAAATGACATCATTATGTTGGCGTCAAGGTACAATGTGTCAGACTATGGCTGATCAGACCAATATGAGCTGTACCATAGGTCAGGCACAAATAGCCCATATGAACATTTGGGGTGGGGATGTCTCTAAATTTGTGCATCTCCTGTTACTTTCAAGCTACTGCTTTGCCCACAGAGCACAGAGCCTTCTTTGATGCAGGCACACTGGTCCTTCGCCAACATCTCCTATGTCATGCAATCAATTCCAAAGTTCAAACCCATCCACCTTCTAAAAAAGATATGATAGACTCTCACAGTACAGAATCAGACACACACACATACAATACACACAGAATCATAAACAACACGGGAATTTGTTTTACATATGTTTTACACGTCTTGCATATTTGTTACAAGAATTTTTTTGTTTATCTTTTCATGGGTGGGGAAGGAGGAAGAGAAAACAAATTGTCGTTAATTGAAAACAATTTTTTTTTTAAAGAAAAGGCACAGAAAGAGATGTAATAATGGCCTATCTATGTTTGTCTTTGTTACCTACCTGCTCCAGAAGTCTGAAATCACTATAGCTTGGCAGCTGGCCTGGAGGTTTGGGTTGGCTGACGGAGTCATTGCTTGTGTTATGGTGTAAAACCTGATAGACAAACAAGAAAACTTATGAAAATCTTTCCTTCTCGCTACACAAATAAGAGTAACAAATTCTACTTCAATGGTGGAAGGCTCAAGCCAAGTGATCAAAGACTTCAGATAGCAGCAGCAGAATGCAGAGCAGGAGACAGAGTATAGAAAAGTGAGGCTCATTATGAATGCTTTTTTAGAGACCAGTTTTCTCTGTGTGCCTTCATGTTGATAGAAAGCATTAGCTACTAATTATCAGGTTTGGATTCTGGAGAGTAGTCACTAAAAAAATGGTATGTGAGAATAACTCTGAACTCTAGGATCCCATCTGGTTTGGACTGACAAAATCCCAATTTCTTACTGGAATTAGGATCTTAGGATGAAAGATTTAGAAGTGGAAGGGTCTTGAGAGACCATTAAATTCAATACCCCTCATTTTACAGAGGAAGAAACTGAGGTCAAGAGAGGTTAAGTGACTTTCCCCAGGGTCAAACAGCTAATAAATGTCTAAGGTCAGATTTGAACTCTGATCTTCCTGGGTACAACTCCTATGCTCTATCCATTATACCATGTTGCCCCTCCTCAATTTCCACTTAGTAGTCCAGATCCTTGCCTGATGTTGGTAAAGCCTTTAAATCTAGAGATAAAAATTTGGTTCTGAGGCAGTTCCAATGTGAAGTGTCAAACTTGAGGGCTGCTCACACCAAGCTTAAAATGTAATTGGAAAACATTTAACGAAATAAACAAAAATAAAATCAAACACAGATACTGTTAATTCATGATTTTCCAAGTCAAGATTAAGCCCATGGAATTCCATTTCTATTTGAGTTTGACACCACTGGCCTAGAAGATAAGTATAGCATTTAGATATATAGTAGACACTCAATCTGGTTGAATGAAGACTAGTGAAAGCCATTAGGTGGATATGTTGACAGTAATTAAAAGGATTTCTGACTTGTTCTTGAGTCAGGAAGACATACTTTCAACTAGGCTTTCCAGGTATCTTATTATCCTTCAATTTGAAACAAATACTTCAACTTTCTGAGGGGGTAGATGGGTTAGGATTAGGTAACTTAGCTGGTCATGAAATTGTTCACCTTAATTTGAAATCAACTATTTGTCCCAAGTAAAATAACACCTTAGAGCTATGGAATGTCACAAGACAGAAATCTGGACCCTTCCTGGTGAAAGATTCCCTAACATTTGCCACAAAATACTTATGGAGAAGTGAAAATTGGTATATTTCAGTGGTAGAAGTGAGAATAAGACATAAAGAAGGGCATTCTTGCAGAGGGAACTAAGATAATTTTCATTCCTATAAGTTAATGTGGAATAAAACAATTATAGAAACTGCCGTGTTAACATCTCTCATCAGTAGACTTGATAAAAGGGAGGCCCCATAACACACTCTCTAAATTTATTGCACCCTTGCTTCTAATCAGCAGGGGAGTGGTGATTTGATGAAGCAGCATAGACATGCATGTCAATGAGGTTGATTCTTGCCGCCTTGACATTTTGTTTTTCTCTGCCACCTTGCCATTTTGTTCTTAGGACACTACAGAATTGTAAGGCTGTACTGGGACTATCCAATACCAACCTAGTATCACGCTGAGGACCACTCGATTTCAGCCAACCAGCTTCATCCCTGCTGCTTAGCCATAGGTGGAAAGATTTCAGGACAAACAGATTCTCTTTCATGCTCTGATGGAGTAGCCCAGTCCTGTTAGGTACATCACGCCTCCCCACCGTGCTCCCACCCTGTGCCTTTGGGCTAGAACTGCAGCAAATCTGCTGGAAAGCAAACTTGTATAGCCAGAGATTTGTCCAAAGGACAAAGTCACTTATTTGATAGTCTGTTGAGTAACTAACTCACCTTTGAAGGATAATAAAAGCCTGATTTTTTTGCAGACTATATGACTTGTCATCCACATGAAAATCTGCCTAATTCATTTGTGTAAATCAAACAACTGTGTGCATAGGGCTGTCAGCAATAAAAAAAACATTCATGTCAAAATTACTGGGATCAAACTTGGTTCCTACCTGTGACACAAAAGGTCTGGGAGGAAGAGCCGGGGGTGGAGGTAACAGTCCTGGTTTAGCAGCTGAAAAAACAAACAAATCATAATATATTATTGTAATTTCTTTTAAGGGATAAAGAACTCTTGTCTGTAACAAGAAATACTTGAAATGTTTTAAATGTATAATACAAATGTTGATCTACTCTGTTCTTTAAAAAAATTAAACACTAGGATACTTATTTCTAACCATTTCCCCCCACTTTATTCAGACATCCAAATCCAAGTATTTATTGAAGCAATTATTTTTAAAGACTTAGAGTAAGCAGGAGTGGAATGGCACCACATAGGCCATGAGACTGGAACAAAACATTTCAGGAAGTCAGCTATTATTCAGGGGTTTATCATTTACTTCAGGATAACACAGCTCCCTTGCTTTTCTGTCTTTCTCTTGTTTTTTGGCCATTGAAATGTAAATAAAGATAGGGAATAGACCATGAAAAACAAAAGGAGTGGGACTCAAACAAGTAAATTTTTTTATTCCTGAATAGTTTCTTCAGTCATTTCAGTCCAGTATGACTTTTTGTGACCCCATTTGGGGTTTTCTTGGAAAAGATACTGGAGTGGTTTGCCATTTCCTTCTCCATCTCATTTTATAGCTGAGGAACTAAGGCAAACAGTGCTAAGTGACTTGCCCAGGGTCACACAGCTAGGCAGCATCTAAGGCCAGATTTTAACTCAGGAAGATGAGTCTTCCTGACTTCAGGCCCGGCACCCTACGCACTGTGCCACCTAGCTGCCATTCTATAATATAATCTTCAATATAAAGAGTTCTGGGTAACAGATTTGGAAGTAGGGAATGAAGAGTTGAGACTAATTACTAAAGTGATATTTTATGAGGAACCTTGACATAGTAGATTGAGAATTGGACTTAGGGTCAGAAGGACCTGAGTTTGAATCCTGTCTCTGACTTTTTTTTTTTTTTTGGTGAGGCAATTGGGGTTAAGTGACTTGCCCAGGGTCACACAGCTAGTAAGTGTCAAGTGTCTGAGGCCACGCATTAGAACTCAGGTCCTCCTGACTCCAGGGCTGATGCTCTATGCTCTGCACCACCTAGCTGCCCCTCCTGCCTCTGATTCTTGACCTGTGTGACCCTGGACAAGTCACGCTGTTTTGGTTTCTTCATCTGTAAAATGAAGATAATAGTATTTAAGTCACAGGGTTGTTGTAAGGATCAAATGAAATATACATGAAAGCATTTTGCTTAAGTGGTATATAAATGTTAGCTATCATCATCATTATATTTGCTGGGTTACTTATAGATTTTAATTTCTTTGTTAGCCATGATCCTTACCAACATGGATAAGTTGTGGAAATGATTTTATATTGAACATACACACACATGCACACATGCACACTTGTGTATGTGATATAATCTGATTCCAAATGAAAGCTACTTTTAGAAAAAAAAATTTGAGTCATTAACACGGTGATTTTTAAAAGTTATATAACATACTTAGATAAACTTCAGCTAAATCAAGAATAATACCTTACCTGTCACTAAATAATTGAGAAATGATACATGTACTAGATAAATCTGATACATGAAAACTCAGTATAATAATATAAAAATCAATTTTAATGTTATATAAAATCTTTTTTTATATGGGCAAGATAAATCATCTTACTTGCAAAACAGAGGAAAATAAAATTTTCTATTCAGGTGTAGGAGATTCACAAAATATATAGCATATTTGGTAACATGTACAATCACCAGTGCCCTAACGGAAACTAATGCCTAAGTTTTTGCAGGTATTTCTCTAAACTGAGTCAGAACAGCTCAAGGGAATGGGGGGTGGGGAGTGGAAGAGGGGGAGAGGCGCTTTCTTAATGTAACTCAGAGTAATGTAATTCAGTCTTTCATTCCAAGCTAGTGACCTGAGATGGTACCGAACATGTGGCCCATCCATTATTTCTCTCAATCTGTCTCTAGTTAAATCCATGAAACACTTCACAAGGTCAAGCTGCAGGGGTATTGAGGCTCTGTACAGGCATCTGTAATGAAGAATCCTAAGTTTAAAAGTACATATCAGGTGGAGTTGATGGAAGTCACTTGGAGTTAACCTCGAAGGGCCCCCTATCAAATATAGACTTCTGAAGCCCCAGTCTTTAAATCACTTCTGTTGAACATTTCCCAAACCAATGCTTGTCCTTTGGAAAAGTCCAAACAACTATACTTGAGTAATTTATATATTAAAGCAAAATTTTATTTTAAAAAAATGCTAAACAAGTGAGAACATCACATATTTTCATTTTCTTTATAACTCATCAATCTTTAAAAAATACAACAAACACTACAATAATTTCAATGGTAAAAACATCCAGCGTCAACAAAGACCATGTATCTTCACTGTTTAAAATCTATTCCCTAAACCAAAAAATGCAACCCCCATCAACAGCTAAAGCACAAAACCACCACAAAAAAACAGAGCCAACAGTTTTTAAGATAATTAAAATATTTAGTACACCTAAAAGTAACTAAACACTGCTCTGAAGATGTAATAGACAAAATGAAAAAAAATTACATTTCTTTTTAGATTGCAAGCAGAAATAGAATCTCATTTCTCACTGTGCTCCCTTCTGTGACATGGCCACCACCTCTCGGGTACAAGCCCTCATCATCTCACACCTGAACCATTCCAGTTGCCTGTTGGTGAGTCTCCCTACCTTGAATCTCCTTCAATCCAGTTCATTCTCCACTTGGCTGTCACAGTGTTCTTCCTAAAGCACAGTTCTGACCATGTCACCTCCCTATTCAATAAACTCCAGTGGGTCCATAACCCCTCCAGGATCAAACTTTTTACAACCTGGCCCCCTCCTACTTTTCCAACCTTCTTACACTTTCTTCATTCCCCACATATGTGGTGATCCAGTAACTTGCCTCCTTGCTGTTCTTCACATACAACACTCCATCTCCAAACTCTGGCCATTTTGACTGGGTATCTTTCATAACTGGAATACTCTCCCTCTTCCACCTCCTCGCTTCCTTCAAATCCCAGTTAAAATCCCACTGTCTATATGAAGCCTTTCCTGATCCCCCTTAATGTTAATGCCTTCTCTCTGTTAATTATTTCCAATTTATCCTGCACATGGTTTGTTTGAACATAGCTATTTACATGTTGACTCCCTCATTAGACTGTGTGAGCTTCTTAACAGCAAGGACTATCTTTTGCTTTTTTTTTTTAATCCTTAGTACTTAGCTCAGTGCCTGGCATATAGTAGGTGCTTAATGAATGTTTTTGTTCTTGTAATTCAGTTGTGTCCGATTACTTGTGACCCCATTTTGGGGTTTTCTTGGCAAAATATTAGAGTGGTTTGCCATTTCCTTCTCCAGCTCATTTTAGAGATGAGGAACTGAGGCAAACAGGGTTAAGTGATTTGCCCAGGGTCACACAGCTAACACAGCTAGTGTCTAACATTGAAGTTGAACTTGGGAAGATGAGTCTTCCTGATTCCAAAGCCAGTGTTCTATCCACTGCACCACCTAGCTACCCTTTTAATAAATGCTTACTGACTGACTAAAACAGAAAGATCAGACTTTGTACTTGAATTGCCTGTAACTTGAACAGGTTAATTCCATCTATTCTGCACCTCTCCAAAATGCAACATAAATTTTAGATGCTCATTCCTCTCAGTGTAGTTGGAAGTTCACTTGTTTTATTTACTTATTGATCTCTAGAGAAATTAGTACAGTGAATTGCATTCAAACAATTTTGTTCTATCATTCACTAGAATTTGACCTGTGTTCTATGTGAAAATCAACAAAACTACAACCAGAAGACTACTGTGCTTTTCCTAAAACTTCTCCAAAAATGGGTTGAATAGGAGCAATTTCAAACTTACTTGTTTAAGTTAATGTGGGACCAAATATCAAGGGTGTCAAAGAAACTGTTATATACTAAACTGAAATCTAGCTGGTAGAAAATAGAAACTTTTATGAATCAGTCATAGAAGCCACAACCCTGGTGTGGTATTTCTTCATATCGTACAAAGTCCTTGCTATGGTTTCAGTTAAGTATTACAAAGGTAATTGATCAATTTTTTTTCTGGCCTGGTTGCCCAAAATACTGACAAAATATTTTCAAATATATGCATTCCTAAACAAGAGCTGGATCAAAAGAATATATTTGTCCTGAACATTTTTAATTTTAAAATACTACTATACTTCATATTTGAAAATAACATTGTTGATGGTCAGATCTACTGTACTATGTGAGTGGAACTATATAGATAAATGAAAAGTCTGTTTTTTCAGCTTTGGATCTTAGACTTGTTGCCATCTCAGAATCTTTGCTTGAGAAGACGTTACATATTATCGATTGCTGAATATAAAATAATTGCATCTCCTAGTTATTTTCAGCAATATCATACACACTATTTCAGTTGAATCCTTAGAGCATTTGGTATACTACAGAATATTTGAACAGAAGTCCTTAGTATGTTACAGACCACCCAGACAGAACCAAGAAATCAGTCCTAAGTCTGGCACAGCATGGGGACCTTTAATTATTTGAACATTTATTTGGCAGTCAAAAACATGCTGAATTTGAAAAACGGAACATGACATAGGTTGGAATTCTGACTCTGACACTTATTACCTGTGTTACCTTGGACAAATCATTTAAATTCTCTGGGCCTCAGTTTCTTCACCTGTAAAATGATGCTTTGGAATCAAATCCCTCTAAGGCACTTCAGGTTCTAGATATATGATCCTATTATTCTGTGTAGTCTACTCTTATTCTTATTCTCATTCTCTTACTCTCTTCTCTGTCTGTATCTGTTTTCTCTTTCTTTCTCTCTCTCTCTCTCTCTCTCTCTCTGCCCTATCTTACCTTAATGATGATTTGAGTTTCAAAATCGAATGATTTGATGAAGAAAACTCCTCTCCTAAAAGTGATTCTCACCAATAAGAAATTGGTTGCTGAAATAAATAGGATGGGAACCTTTGCATTGATACAATCCCACTCTCACTTAGAATTTGTGGCCAAGGAGAGGAAAGTTGTGTATAGGTTAACGTGCATTCTATA